TTGACTCGATAAAAATTGTCCTACAGGAGCAGTCTCTTCAATGTTTCTATGGTGGCAAAGTAAACCCTGACGGCATTGCAAAGGTGTACTCTGGAGCTACTATTGAGAGCAAGCTTTTTGCAAGACACAGGGCATTCGACGTTGCGTTGCACGTCCTGGAAGACATCGATGAAGAGACAATCTCATGGTCCTGTTGTTCGAAGAACGCGGGCCTTAGTGTGAAGGAAAAGAAGAACCCTGGGCTTGAGACCATGTATATATCCACTCCCAAGCGGCCTAGATTACCCACTCCTCGATCAAGGGCAATTGTGATACCTCTTGAGCGATTGTGGGTATTTGGTTCAACAATACACTGTTGCGAATGAATCAAAACAGGAGCCAGCCAAATATGTGAGCGGACGCATTCTGTCGCTTTGGCTACTTGCACATAAAACTAGAAACGAACATTAAAATTTAGTGACTTTTACGAAATCCAATTCAGAAACGAGATTGCATCACACTTTGTGCCATTGAAAGTCGAACGAAACCGTGAAACCTTCGTGGGAGCCCAATGGGCAAACTTGTGGCATTCCGTTATCCTTTGACACTAGGACAGTACTATCGTGATAGTCGTGCTGTTTTGTTGTCTTTGATCCATTCCCAACGTCTAAAACATCTAAAACACCGAACCGTTTCACGGTTTGACTCTGCGCTGAATCCATGAAGAGCTAGGTAGGTCTCAGTGACGACTTGTTCTAGCAGTTGCCATTATCGACGACGCAGTTCCGGGCAACGGCGTTAGTGATATCAGAGAAGCAGTTGTCACCTGTTGAAAGAAGAAACAATGCATTAGCGAGTACGACTCCGTGAGCAGATTTGTTTTGTTGATGCAAATCAGACACTCACTCAAATCACATTCTCGAGAAAGCCGTGGGAGCGGTGGGACGTCGCCAACTAGACTATTGTTAAAGAGATGCAAGACCTCAAGCGATGTAAGATTTGCAATCTCCGCCGGAATCGTTCCAGTGAGGAAATTGGTGTCCAGCTCCAATTGTGTGAGAAAGGTTAGCAAACCAATTTC